ACCGGCCCCGGCACCGGCACCGGCTGCTGCGGGAAGCGCATCTCGGAGCGCTCGGCGTTGCCGTGGAAACGCGGCCACGGCTGCTGAGGAGCAAAGAGCCGAGGCACAGAGCGCAGAGGAACGGGTTGCCAGAGACTCCCCGAACTCCCCCCCAGGTATTAAAAAGGCAACAGATCTTTAAATGTCCTTATTCCTTCAGGTTTTGGGGGTGCCCTTGGGGTGCCCCGGGTGCCCGCAGCCTCCCTGCATCCCCAGGGCCGGGAGCCCGTCCTGGGCAGGAACCAGCAGCTCTCACCCTTGAGGTTGAGCAGGGACCTCGGGATTGGCCTCTCCGGGGAACAGGCTGTGCCCTCCTGCTCCTGCCAGCAGTGACACCCCCAACAGATCCTCCCTGTCCTGCCTTCCTGCCCGCACTCGAGCGCTGGGGCTGCTGCTCCGGAGGATCAGCCTTCCCGCATCCCCCCGCGCTGCTCCCGCCGCAGGGTGGGTTTGGTTTAAACTCCGTGCTGTGGGTCTCTGCGGATTGCAAAGGGTCTGGCTCTTGCCTAAGCCTCCTGTACAAGTCTGGCTTTGGCAGAGACGGCTCACAAAGCCGGAGGAGGCAGCTGGCAGCTCCCAGTGAAAGCAAAACGTGTTTTGATGAGAGAACGACAATGGTGCAAGAGAGACTGGCATGTGCATCTGCCACTGCAGCTGCCCTGCTCTGCCCACATCCCGTGTATCTTGTCTTTTCTGCACTCTTCTGTTACTTAGGAATTGCTCCAGGGCTGGGCTAGCTGTGTGACTAGCGAGCAGGGTATTTTTAGGTATGATAATTTATGCATGTGATTGTTTCTGCCTTTCCAGCTAGCTGTTCAGATGTTGAAGAACTTCCTGGTATCTGAACAGGCTGATTTTCCTTCCTTGCAAAGGCAGCAGATGGAAGGAAACAAACACTCATCTGCAGAAGAAGCTGAAGTTTAACCAAGGGATTCTAATAAGCACAGCATTCTCTTTTTCTCTGTGTTGAAGTGATTAGAGTCAACAGTGCTCAGAGACCAGGCCTTTCACTGCTGGGAGCTGCCTGGTGGCACTGGGATTTTTTTATTTTTATTTTTTTTTCAAAGCAACAATTAAAAAATTGTCTCCATAAAAGACCCTTTATCCGAATCCTATCATTCAAAACTCTTTTTAATATCCACGATCTGCCACCTCTTCCTGCTCCAGCATGTTCCACTCACCTTCTCACCCCTATTTATAAGAAAAGGTGAAGCAAGATTGGATAGATCTGAAGGGAAGCTGCTCTTTTCTGGAAGCCCTGCTCACTGCTGGGCTCTCCCAGCACCAGCCAGATCCCAGCTAGGAGTTTGCTGGGGGTCCCAACAGGCTGAGGCAGGAGCAGGCAGCTCGGGAGGGCAGACACACCAGCCTCTTCCCCTCATGGCACACCAGGCTCCCATGGGAAGGCTGGCACAGCTTCACTCCTCAGCAGGTTAAAAGCTGCTAGTCTGTGCAGTAAGGGATTTCATCTGGATGGCAAGATTAAATTAACCATTGGTGGACAGTGATTTCTCCAGGAGGCTGAAAAAATAATAGTGACAAAGATTTCTGGTGGAATCAGTGAGTTAGGGCTCCAAAACCATCCCATCTTAGTTTTCTTACCCTGCCAGCTGCAGCCTGCTTACATATGATCCAGCCATTAAACTGAAGAGCTTCAGAGGCACAATCCAACCCATTAGCTCATGCGAATGCTTTGCCTTTGTTTTTTTCTTAATTGGGTCATTTATCACTAAAAGATTAGAAGAATGATCTAGTTTGAATGTCCTGCTTATTTCTTATTCTAGCTGTAGAACGCCCTGCCTCTGGGGTTTATTATTTAGCTTTTAGAGTTAAATATTTATCACAAAGTGTAGATTTAAAGTGTTCCCTTCGTTGCTCAGTCACACACTATAATTAAAGGAACACTTGCGGAGTGCTAGGATTTCAGAAGACTCACTCTAATGCTATTCTGTAACACTCTCAATTACTTTCAAATACTTTCACAGCAGGTCCCATGCGGAAGTCACTAGAAAGTAATGACTTCAGGTTTCAGAACGTCTCTTGGGAGAAAACACGTTTTTTGGACCGGGGGAGAAGTCAAAAAACACAGAGGCATGAAGTAATTTGCCTAAAACCATGTGGAAAATGAAAGCAGAACCAGTCCCATGCTGTAACCACAGCAGCATCTTTCTATAGAGCTTCCCCACCTAAGAGAACAAAATCCATACACAGAAAGCAGCTGGAAAAAATTGCCATCTCTCCTGAATTAGTCTTGCTCAGTCTTGATGGCCTAATTAACCCATGATTTGCCTCCTGCTGCCCCCGAAATGGCTGCACCACAAACTGTTTCCCCATTTCCTCAGGATCCTTGGCAGCATCTTTCCTGAGGACACGTACAGGTTGCTTCTTATTTTAGTCCCTACGATGTCCAAGTCAATCAGTGTTCAGCTAATTATGGCTGTGGCTATAGCCTCACTTAGGGATGTAATCCCACTTCCACGGCAAGTAGATCTGTGTCATCAGGACAGCTTCTTTCTGCAGACAGAGCAGCTCGTGGAAAGGTGAAACCAGCCCAT